TGATATAAGAATAAGGATAGTAAGATTTTTAAAGAAGTTCATCAATAATAAACGTTTGGTACCTGATATGTCCTTTAAACCACATAATAAAACATGTCCTGGGTTTAGTAAATACATATTTCTAGATGTTCTTGTAGCAACCAATAGCTCAATATTTCCAACAAATTAGTTAGTACTACACATGAAAAATTACATTTATAACGAAAGCACGAAAACTAAACTTAAATTAACACTAAATGAAACTCAAAAACACTATTATAATAAGAATATTATCTAAAAACAGTTAAAAAATCACAAATACAAAATCCCACAACACGTAAATAAACAAACATCCTACTTATACGTGACAAATGACAGGCGCGCGAAAATTAATTTGAATCGCGAATAGGAGGAGCGAATTGAAAAGACGCATTTACACAGGGAAAAGTAACTAGATTTGTTACTAAGAGCGAGTTTCGAAATATAGTCGTGTTCAAAATTTATGAAATAATTATCTTTATCGGCCTTAGTCGGTGAACGGCCAATGAGCGGTTAAGAAACGAATAAATGTCATAGAAGTAATTTTTTAATTGGTTCCAGACAACGGTCGCAAATTTCACATTATTGTGATCTGAAATGTGTGTCTAAAACGAAATGTCACTGTCAAATTAAAGTCAATATGGTTGTTGATTGATGTCAGAAATACTTTTTTCTTGCTTTTGAAATCGACTTTTTGAGAATAACTATGATCTTTTTAAAATGAATATTGAATATTTAAGAAAATTGTTAATGGAATATTCAGATGTAGCCAGGTTAGTATAAAATATAAAGATCTGTTTACATTTTTAAGGATATATTTGTTATAGGTATAAAAAGTAAAAGTTAATCAGTGAATGACAAGTGGATCACACAGTAACTGGTATCTCTTCTATGAGTAATGTGGATATTATGGCTTATTTAGTGTTAACCCATGGTTAATGCACTAGAGGGCAAATAAGGGCATTCAAAAGTTTACAGGCCTATGAGTCAGAATTTGTTTTGAAAACTGGAACCAACATTTTCATAACACTACATATGTCAAATATATTTTTTAAAGTGAACTATTCATACATACCTATGTATTAATTTTAAGTATTTTTAAAATATTTTTTGTGAAAATAATGTTAACTCATTGTGCCAAATTAAGATTATCCCTAAAGTAGTAGATGGTGTTTTAAATGTTATAACAATTTTGTAAATAGTTTTATTCTATTCTAATAAATAAAATTTGCTTGAATATTTAGTTACATTTTAATCATTTTGGTTAGAAATTCATCAATTTTTAGTTTTAAAAAATCAGTAATAAAATTATTTTTATCTAAAATATTTCGGAATTCATCTCTTCATGGTAATCTCTCATCTTTTTACCTTCAAAAACCAATCATGCATTTTCTACAAAACCTTCAGAATCAGCATGTAAAATAATGTGTCTTCCCTTTCTTGTAAGGCTTTTCAGGAATTGCTACCTTTAATAGTACTTAGTGTAGAAGGATCCATAATTGTGGATTTTCAATACAATTGCTTACTGAAAAACTATTATTTATGAAATAAAGTAAAAAACTAAGTAATGGATGAGATATTAAATTATAAAATGTCAGAACTGTCAACAATATCAATTAATAGCTGATGTTCATGCTAAAAAGTAATGTGTGAAACTGACTGTAATCTGACCAATCAGAAGGCTACAGAATTGCCAACTTAAATTCAAATCGCTCCTCTTAGTTTAAAAACAGAGTATAGAAACAAACTATAAAGAAGGAGGTAAATCTCCCTTAAATCGTTTTATACTCGTGTTTATGTGAAAAAGTCATTAATTGAAATTTGATAGTAATGCATTGTAGTTTTCATTACACTTACCAGACATATTCAGGTACAAGAATCTTAACCAGCAACACAAGTATTTTAAATAAAACTGTTTTTCAAATACTTTTTTATTGTAAAATATATCTGTAAGGAAGGTGAGTTACCTCACAGTACTTAGGACTTACTATACACATTGTGTATCCTTATGAATCGATAAGGGCTCTCTTAGCTTAGCTATACTGCCCTATTAAGTATAAGAGTCGTATCTGCATTTTCAAAAGTTTCAAGAAAATCAGGAAAAAGTGTTAATCTTTTCGCCATCGTAAGTAATATCATTCTGGAAATTAAAGTTAATAAGTTGTATAATATTTTTTTCATAGAATTTGAATTATAGTCTTGTTTTTTGCAAATTTAGAGCTTAATGATGTTTTTATTAGATACGACTTTAGATTAAAGAGAACGAAGATGTAACATTGCACACTGCGCATGTTGTCTATTTTAACCCCAAGTAACCCACCAATTCAAAATCATTGTTTGCACGACGCCACCCGAATTGCTCCGATTTTTCATTCAACGCTAACCTCCGTCTGAGTTAAATCACCGTTGACAGCTGTTTTTTGATTTATTTGTTGGTGTTTTAGCAATTTAAAGTGTTCTAGTTATTCAATTTTAAGTTCAAAATGCCACGATGTATCTTGAAAAATTGTATATACTTATAATACAAGTACCAATGTTATGAAAGATTCGTTTTCAGCGGTAAATATTTATTAACGTTTTGACATAAAGTGCCTTGATCCTTTGTGCTGAATACTTCAGATCCGCATTAAGGGATTTCAATAAATATTAAGCATCAAATACATATTTCAGAAAACAGATTTCATATTACTTACATAAATTTACAAAAGGGTAAAATTTAAATAAGAAGTAAATAGGCATTTTTGCTAACGAAATTTTGTTTTTAAAAAGTAGTTTTATAAGAATATTTACTAAAGGTGGTTTTTAGCCCTTTTTGGTAGATAAATAAGAGAAAAGAAGCATAGTTGCTAGCTAAATTTTATTTTTATAAGGTATTTTTATGAGATTATTAGATGAAATACAGGATGACCTACTTAAAATTTCAAGGTTCATCTTATTTACGGTCAAATCGAAAGTCACATTTGGATCGTAAGTCTTAAAACAAAGTAAAACGCATAATATGATCTAGTACAAGCAAAAAATACTAAAGTTACGGGAGTTACATTGTTAATAAAATATTACATTATAAACCCCTAAACAACTCTAACAAAATTTTCACTTACTAAAAAAAATCCAAATTCTAGCAATATTTATTATACAATCAAATGCGGTTTTAAAGATAACGGGACCGATAGGGGTTACAAAAATAATTGATTTATCGATTATTCTGATATTTTTTTATGAAAATCAATTTATCCGTTATTTTTAATAAATTATTTTCGTTTGTTTAAGATAATGTAATAATCGATTTAAAAGGAAATACAAAAAGAAAGTAGATTTATTCAAAATAATCGATTGATTGAAAATAATCGATTGTTTTGAGAAAATCGATGTATCGTTTATTCGTTTTTTTTTAATTAATCGAGATTATTTTCGATTAATCGATTATTTTCGATTTTTCAAAGGTATTATATGAAAATAATTGATTGATCCAATATAATCGGTTATTTTATATGACCGATATTTCGGTTATTTTTTAGAATTATCGATTTATCGGTTAATCAACTTTTTAATAACCGATTATTTTCGATTTTTCAAAGATCAATTTTAAAAAAAATATGAAAAGGATTGTTAAAAAATAATCGATAATTCGGTTATTTTTTAGGAAAATAGATTTATCGTAGAATCGACTTTTTAATTAATTGGTTATTTTCGATTAAGGGATTATTTTGGAATAATCGATTATTTTCGGTATTTCAAAGATAATCGAATTATCGATTTTAAAGAAAATACAACAAAAATTAATTATTGATAATAATCGATTGATCGAAAATAATTCGGTTTTTTTTTGAAAATAGATTTATCAGTTAATTAGCCATTTAATTAATCGATTATTTTTGATTTTTCAAAGATAATCAAGTAGTCGATTTTAAAGGAAATACGACAAAAAATAGATTGTTTGAAAATAATTGATCGATCGATCGATCGAAAATAATCGATTATTTTCAATTATCGATCATTTATTTCGATAATCACCCACCCCTAGCGACCAAATGACTTTAAATAGGTTTCAATTTTAAAATGTTATCTGGTTTCAAACATATGCATTTCTAGAGTTTTATGTGACTCATCCTCTATATTAATTGATATTTCTAACGAAAGAAGCTGAGGTTATAATACAAAACAGCAATTTCTTATTTTGACTAATTTTTAATATTATGTAATAGCCGTAGAAAAAATATAATGTTCAACCCACAAGGTGTGGTTTGCAGTATTCGCCTGAGCACATGCTTTTTTTATAATACTCGTAGACGTAGACAATGAGTACCATTTCTTGCTCTATTAACAATATTCTATTTCAACATTTTACTGTAGTCTCTTGATGGAAAGTCCGTAGTAAATAAACGCTAACGAAATATTCTATAAAAGGTCTTCTCTTTACATAAAATGTCATAGCATCTGTTTGATATTAAAAAATCACGTTAATTTTATTTCATAATACAAAATTCCATTAAACGTATATTCTAAATAAATCATTATGATGCTAATAAACAAAGTCCGGTCCCTGTCACAGAGTTCGGGTCTCTGCCCAGTTCCCCCACTCCGTTAACATTTCTTTAGAAATTGGCAACATTTGCGCAGGTTAAACACCGGTGTATGTTATATCTCTGGTCTCTTTTATCTAAGGATACGACAAATTTGTTTATCAATGAGCAACTAAAATATTAACATGGTTAGTCGTAAGTGACCATTTACTGTATAGAAAAACTAACAGTTAAATTTTTATTATAACATCAGTTTTTTTAAATAGGGGTTTTTGAAATGAGATATGTTTAATTCCTGGGAGCCCAAAAACTAATAAACTACTCTGTGTGACTTAAAAATAATTTTCGGTATTTAACTAAAACATTTCTAATTGTAATTAAAAACAAAAACACTTATGCTTAATAAATTCACAGCAATATTATATATCAAGTGAGATTTTTATTATTTTACTCGTCTTCTTATACAGGATTTTCGGAAACAGGCAAATTATTCCAAAAGTGTATTCTAGTAACGGGAATAATACCACGAAGTCGGTTTATAAGAGTGTCTTTTCTAGCTTGACTTATGCCACGACAAACAGTCTTGCATTTAGGCTTTTCCAAACCATTCTTTTGGTGTTTTGCTACTAAAAAATTTAATATTGTTGCCTCTTCACTAAATTTGCATTTGTAGGATAATGACTGCTTTCCATTTTCAAAATTAACCTGCACCATATCACTTAAATATGGCCAAGGATTTATTCTGCTTAATTTATATTAAGAACTCTTGTCTTCCTAATTAAAAAAATTGTTAATTTTCATTTCAATCAATTTCACTTTCGACGAGTTCACTTTTTGAACGGCATCTTTGTAATCTCCGAAATCATATACTTTTTTCATTTGCTCCAAGGACTTCTCTACCTGGTGATGGAAAGAATCGGCTGACATGAACGTATGCCCTAGTTCAAAATATTTCAGAGTTTAAAGCGACGTTATTAGAATTTACTATATATACGCAGAAACTAAAGAAAGCCCAATTTTTATTTTGTCCAACCACAAAATAAAATTTTCAGCATCTCTATTATCCAGAAAAAAAACATAGAAAGCACTAATGATATCTTCTTTGGATCGTCCTGACAAGGCTTCGTACCAAATTACTGTCGTGGGAATTTTTTTGTGTTTTCTTTTTTTCTATTGGAACAATACTTTCATTGAATGCAATGATACAAGGTTCGAAAATTACCTGCTTGAATATTTGACACCTTAAAAAAAACTAGCAGGAAAATAATATAATATAAATATATCTTACCTTCTGAAGATTTGCTGAACATGCCAGTACGTAGGGATTATCAGCTTCAGCGTCAATTTGATATTGTTGTCGAGCTGACTTCGTTATTCCAATATGTTTATTACATGATTTACAGTTGGCCCAGTCATTTTTCAAATTCTTGGAGTCGTGATTGGTGCTGCTTTCATGATTTTTTAATGCTGCACCAGTGAAGCACTCTTCGTGTCCAAGTGCAGCGAATGAAATATTCATTTTACTCACGACATATCTATGTAAATATTACGAAAAAGTAATAGTTGGATGTTTTGCTTTAAAGTCATTGTTCATTGTACATCATTAACTATGGTAACATCACTAGGAAGGTATGAACTAGCGCTACCTCGCGAGATTATTCTACCCTTAACTGTTTAGTAGTGGAAGATAATGCACTTCAAATAATGTCCAAGAGTAGCCAAGACAAATATTTTGCATACTTCCTGTATTGTACCACTAGCATCTTTGAGCCTGTAGGTAAAACTCATTGACCTTCGTAAATCTAAAGATACCTTTCTCTTTGCATTTTTCCTTTCTGTCATATTTAACACAAAAGTTTTTTGCTTTAAATCCGTTAATTGCCAGAAATTCAAATTTATATTTGTACGTTGTTCTTTTGCAATTTTTTTGGTACAGCATTTTTTGCACTTGTCTCCACATGGATCTTTTAATAAATGATTATTTTTCTTAACTTCGACTTTTTGTTTTTGTCTGCTTTGTAAAGATGTATTCAATTAGCTGCGTTTTCGGAGCTGTCCTGTTTTTGTATATAAACTGGCTTCTCGGTTTTCAGATTGCTCAGTTACAGCATCAATTACGTTATCGACAATTTCGGTAACCAAAGCAATAACATTATTTTTGTTATTGTTTGAATCTGAAGTTATAGCGTTTCTGGTATGAATTACAACATTTTGATTGATAATAATCGAAGGAAGTTCAGATTCCACTTCTTCCTCTACTGCTTCTGAGCTTGATGTGTCAAACGATGATGGGATCTCAAAATCTGGATCCTTCTTCATAATTCTTTTTTAAGCGTGTTTGAGCATTTTTTTATCTACATTTAGTGGCCGGCTCTTTGTTTTTCCTTGCCACTGCTTGCAACAATCGCATAGATCTGCTATTATTACCATCCATTATCCTAAAAATGGGCTCTATGTTAATGAAAAGCTTCGCCAGCTACACGCTTATGTGTTGATGTGATCAAATGTAGAATGACAACTAACTTTCTTTCTTTTTAAGTTCTATAAAGTAGGTATCACTTCAACAATAAGTTTAAGGCCACAGTTCACTTATTTTGTAAAGAAACATATAAAACTATCTGAACAGAAGTAAATAAATACTCTTTTGAGGTTATGTACAAGGTCTAAGCGTCAAAATACTCAAACTGTCAGATTGCACGTCAATAAAATGCCGTTTGAACAATAATTATGCTTAACAAACTGATGATAATTTCACATATAACAAAGAAATAGTATGATTTTTTGATCGGTGATAAAAGTTATACGACATTTTGAACTAATAAATAGACGTAAAACCTTGAACTGATGTGATATACCAGAAAATCTCAAAATCTGTCAAACATGCAGATACGACTCTTATACTTAACACGGCAGTATAGATTTTATGTAGATGAAAATGACGCCGAGAGGCAAGCAGTTTTCTCAGATACAGTTTGTTTTGATTAGCGTGTGTTGGAATAAAAGGTAATTGTCATTATTGGTTGATGTATTATAGTATAATCTTTAGCGATGTTTTTTAAGCTAGCCTCTTTTAAACGGATTTAAGCTGTTCTGAGAGATCCTACGAATAATGTTTCTTCTCGTGCTTTCACAGTGGTTCGAAAAGGATTTAGACGAATACATTCTACGAGAGCAATATTTTTATTTTCATTAGAGACCGTACACTTTATCTGAAAGGTCTTCACAATTTTTATTCTTTTTGCCAGCGTTTCCTAACGTAAAATATGCAACTTTTACTGACATTTAATTCAGCATCCACTTCATTTAAAGATCAATTTGTCTTCCAATTTTGCTACAGTCCTCGACTTTTGAGCCTTAATTAAATGATGTGGCATTTTCGAAAATTTATTCAACAATAATTCACACCATTAAATATTGGCGTTCACATTTTGTTTTCGTCAATGTACAAAAAAGTAATTTAGACGTGGCGCTGATATCTGATCGCTGATTGTTCGTCCATCTTTGAATTTTTATTTATTATGTCTTAATTTGAGACACGCGTTATAATCACGCTTGTTTACAGTGAAAATTAATTAATTTGGGTACATATTCGGCTTTGTTTTTCATTATTTTTCCGATCTTTGTATCATAATTATTATGTGATTTTGCCAAAATGACTTAAATTCCATTTTACACATGACTAATCCAAACATATTCATTAACCTTTTGAACCTATTATTTTAGAAATTGTTTTTCCATAATATGCGACATAATAGGAAATTGAAACAGAAAGGAATCATTCAGAATGTCGGAAAAGCAAGTAAACAATAATATTTATGTAATATATTGTAGGCGAGAAATAAGTTTTTAAATAAAAAAAATGTTATTTATCGCTGATTTTTCAAAGAATAAAGGTTTCTTTGCACACTTTCACTATATTTAGAATTTTCCGGGAAATAATTTATCTAGATTAAATATTTTTAGATTTGTAATTTGTAGTATGTGCATAGACTTAGAATTACTCATCAACCTCGATCTTTCTAGATCAATTTTGTTATCATCTTGCTCTTTTTAGTAAATATTTTGTTTATAATCGAAAACATGATAGATAAACTCTATTATTGATATTCATGTTGAAGCTTGTGAACCATATGAAACATCTTGCTGTCAAACTTGATCAGCTGCAAAGGATTCATAAATATACTAGGTGTTTAAAAAAACATGACATCAATGATACTGACTGAGATTTTACGTAAATTGCCAATAGTTTTGTAAGAAAACTGCTTCAAATAAAACCTGACCGTTTTATTTCAAAATGCTCAATCATAGAGGAAAAACAAATCTGGTTTGGAGAGTTGATTTTGTATTGTATTAATAAGGAATACATCTAAGATAATATCAATTAAAAATAAATAATTTTATTATTAAGTGTAGAGAAAAGAAGGACAATGTCATGTTTAGTTATCTCAAAAAGTGTCCACCAAAAAGCTGTAACTGAGGTTTCATAAAGTGACCAGAATGGTGCTCATGTTCTAGAAGGGTATAGTCCAATAATGTATAATAGTTATATACATTGCTCATGAATACGTAAATCAGACAACGATAAGCAAATTTCTATCTTAAGTAATAATACATGTTATTTTATTAATTATTAGAAGATTAAAAAAATTTATAAATAAAAAAATTCTACAATTTATTGGACTAATTATGAATATATATTTGCAAAAATTGCAATTCAATGAAAATTTTTGTGGGACGTTGAACTTCAGAATTTTTGTTGAATCATAAGCTTCCTTTTAATCAAAAAAAAATTTAATAATTAGATATATGTAGAAAAGGGACAATAACACCAAATTTTTTTGTGAAAGTTCGATATATAAATAGATCATTTTAATAGTTACTCTTGAAGAACAAACTTTTTTATATATTTTTAAAATCTTAGTTTCACAAGATATTGGAATACAATCAAATTCTGTTTATTTTCATTGAAACATAATTCTATAAATGTTTTTTATAAAAAAAAAAAAAAAATTTAGTCATTAAAATTAACATTTGGCATTTGTATCTGTATAACGTATAACAAATTCTGCATCCTCCTAAGTTGATAGGCTTCTCCTAGCTTATGAGTAAGTCTACGATTTAATGAAGATGACAACGTCGCTGAGGTGCTTCTCTTATATTGGCTCTAATAAATAAGAGCATCTGTCAATCGTAGATGATATGCTCGCTTGTCTCATCTTCTTGTTCGCATCCCCTACACAGTGCGTATTCTGACAGCGCCATGCAATGGAGATGCTTCCTTACTTGGCAATGACTAGTTATAATGCCTGTGATCAGGCGCAAATTCTATCTAGTAATAGTCAAGTATTCGTTTGCTGTCAGGATAGTTTAAAATCTCTCTCTCTCTCTCTCTAAAAATTAATAACAGCTTTTTGTTTCATCCCATCTTTCCTTAAATTTCACAAGGGGATGTCCTCTAATTAGGTTTGTCACTACCGATGTTTTCAGTTCAATAGAAGTTACAGGTCCAAAAAGTATTTGATTGGCTGCCTTCTTGGCTAATGAATGACGATGACCTTTAATCCCTCTTAAGGTGACGATATTCTAGTATTAATCCCTACCAGTGCATAGGATACGCAGACGACCTAGCAATTATCGTCAGGGGGCGATTTGCAGATAAAGTTTCGGAGTGATCTCAAACAGCTCTAAACATAATGAACAACTGGTGCAAAAATGATCAATTGTCCATTAACGCACAAAAAACAACAGTTGTACCATTCACAAAAAAACAGCACAGTTATCCCATTCGTCACAGAAGCCAAATATCTCGGAGTCATATTTGACCAAAGGCTGACGTGGAATCAACATCTCAAAAAACTCACACATAAAGCTACAATAGCTCTCGTAAGCTGTAGAAGAATATGTGGGAAAAACTGGGGTCTAAACCCCCAAATGACCATATGGTTATACACAAGGGTAATAAGACCCATGATAACCTATGGCGCAGTGGCGTGGGTAACCAAAACTGCGCAGGCAAGTGCAATAGGCCAACTCACTAGCATTCAGCGGCTTACCTGTCTAAGTGCTAATGGGGCCAAGCGCACTACGCCGAACGCAGCAATGGAGGTATTATTAAATCTTACGCCACTGCACATCTTTATACAAGGAGAAACCAGGTCAGTTATGCACAGGCTAATGCAGAGACAAAACCAAATAAGCCAACTACATAGCGCCGACCACACAAGGCTATATCAGCAAGTAAAAAGGGATAATATTCTAGCTATGCCTACTGATAGAGCCATAACCACATACAAATTTGAAAGAAATTTTCAAATTCAAATACCAGCCCGAGAATCCTGGAAACAGGGACCTCCTGTACAGGCTGAACTCGTCTGGTACACAGACGGTTCAAAAACCAAGGATGGAACCGGTGCTGGAATCTATGGACTTAAGTCGAAATCAACGATTTCACTGAGTTTAGGAAAATATGCAACAGTGTTTTAGGCTAAGCTAATAGCCATACAACACTGTGCAAGAGAA